TGAGAAGACTGGTTAGGAAGAAAGGAAACAAGATTAAACAGAATAGGTCACTTGAGAACACTTGCAGAAATTTTGTCTTTATTTGCTTGGTCTGGTAGCTCTGGAAGATAGGAACTCCACATGTTTTATGGTTACATTTATATAACAAATAAAGTCTTTAATTACAGCAGCCCTCGCTTTCAAGGAGGCAGTAGGGAAGCCAAAGAAAAACAGAAGACTTTGCAGTCAGAGTAATAATGTCTGATAATCAGAAGTGTCACATAATCCTCTGAAAATTAAAACTGGAATAATAAAATATTTTCCTCATTGACTTAGTTACCATGTAATCTTATCAGGGATACCATCCCTCATTTCAAACACCGTGGTGTCACCTGTGGCAGCCTCTCCTGTGGCAAAGAGTGGCACCTCCTGCTTTGCTTGGAGCAGCTTCCCTGCAGCTGCCCTGCCGTGCCGCAGCATCCCCCGAGCCCACGCTCTGGCTGATGCTCATGGGGAGAGCGGTGTCAGGAGCGGGGTATGAATGGAGTTGGATTTTTGAAGGGAAAATAGAATTTGATCCTTCGGTTCCCACAGGGTACCACCACAGAGACTATTTTCTGTAAAATGAAACCAGTGGAGTGATGTTTTTCACCACAATATCGCACAAAAGGCAAGACAGTTGGCCCAGTGATACTCCTACACAGACAAATTCCTGTGTCTCTGGACAGGTTCACATTTCTTTATCTGGCAAGCATAAAATTGTAGTCTGTGTACAAAGTAGCTTTTTATTTAAGGAACAATTAAGCTAATCCCACAAGATTTCATGTTTAACTAGGTCTGTAGTGAACAAGTTTGTAGTCTGCATTCAATCAAGTTCTTTTGACTTTCAGAAAATAGGGGCAAACCAATATATATGAAATGTAAAATTCTGAGTTTCCTGAGATGTATGAGTCCTGCTGGAGTAAAACTATACATCTATTTGCTAAAACTTTGGTATTCTATACGTAGACTTCTTTCTTTAGCTGCCCTTAATCTTCCAAGTATGCAATATAAACCTGCGTTTTTCATTAAAATAAACTGGTGTACACTAAAGCACTTGGTAAATACATAACAATATGTACATGTGCACACATGCTCAGTAAAAGCTGCTGTTGGCTTGAAGGTAACATCAGCTGCACTCATGACAAGATGCAGGCTCTTGGCCTTTAAAATCTCACCTATTCAAAGGTGTGTTCAGGCTCTGTGCTTTTTTCACTGTGGTTTGAGCTGGGGTTGATTCCAGCTGTGGCCAATGATGATCTGAATTCAATGAAGTCAAGAGAAGACAATAATTCAGGTTCAGTTCTGGTTTTTGACAAAACAATGGTTCAAATCAATCTTTGGTTTTGGTTCTACTTCCTGCTTAACAGCTGTGTAAAGAAAAACATCTGGAATAATAACCCAGCAGGGCCAATAAGAGAGGCTGCTCTTTCATACTGTCCAGATAGCACCAATAATAACAAAGCTTTCAAGCCAGTTTTCAACAACAACAATGAAAAAACCACAACCAAACAAGAAAACTCCTTTTGTGCCTCACAGTCAGTAGTGGCCAGGACTGCACATGGGACCTGGAGCATTCCTGCCTCCACTGGCACTAGGCAGGGAAATGGGCCAAGACCAGCCCTGCTGTTCTGGCTCTGCAGGAAGGAGGCAGGGCACACACAGCTGATTCCCTCCTGCAGTCAAGCTGGCTGCACGGCTGCCAGAGTCAGGCTTTTGTGGGCCCTCAGCTGTGCCTGGGCACTGCCCAGCATGGCACCCTGCCAGGGTGCTCCAACCACCTCATCCTCCTGTGAGATGCTGAATCCTAGGTCTGACAGCCCCCTTAGGCCAGCACTGCCTTTGTGCCAGTTGGTAGAAAGAGCTGTGTCCAGTGCATCTCCTTGCACCTTCCCACTTTTCTGCCATCTCTCCCACTTCATTTAGTGAGCTCCTTTGGACCTGGGACTATGTCTTTGTTCCATGTTCATTTGGTGCCTGGTTTTGTTAGTAGGGCTCCAGAAGCTGCATCAAAGTACATTTAGTGGGGAATCATAAACCATACAGGGCATGCAAAGCTCTGTGGAGTGGTCTCAACCCATTCTCACATCTGGGCAACTACTCCACCATGAATGTCAGCCTTGATTGTCAAACACGACTACTCCCACTGCCTGAGGTCTAGACCAATTTTAGGGAACTGTAGTTGCTTAAAAACAAGCCAGTAATGGAAGTATAGAAAAGGGAGAGGACACACCAGGAAATGTCCAGAGGTCACAGAGAAAACAAGCAGAACTGACACCAATGGCCATTGCCTTAACCAAGAACCCCTGAAGCCAACACTGGCTGCATAAAATTTACAACTGCTCCTGGTCTTTTTTACCACACGCTGCTCTCATGCATCAAAGAGGCCAAAGGGACCTCTCAGAGCAATTCTGTTTTCATGGGACAAAACACTGCTCAGGTGCTCTCCATCTGGAAAAAGCACTAGCTCTTCACTTCTGTTTCAGGAACACACCACTCCTGTGTCCATTGGAAGGAGGTAATAAATGTCCTTGTATCAAAATTTTGATGTCTGTTTTTCAAGATCAGTTAATTGTCCCTTTTTTCCTCCTTATATAACTGAATTACTATATTGAAACTGTACAAGGGAGAAGAGGAAAACAAAGAATGAAATTGCCAGTGACTAAACAGAGTTTGGTAATTTTGAGTTTTGAGTTAGAGCTGTGATTGCTGTACTCTTGTTGCAAAAGTTAATGAAGTTAGAAGAAAATAAAACAGCATTTTGGCCAGCATCACCCGGATCTGGAGTACTCCTCCTTCTGAATACTACATTTCAGCTCCATAATTTGGACAATTTTAGCTTTGTTTACCAGTGAAGATTTACTGGTGCTTATTTGTATTTACCAAGGAAGGAACAGAAACTGCAGCATGTTTGCAGCCAGGTCTCTGACCTCCTGTTCAGTGGTTTACAAAACCGAAGATGCATTTTCAGGGTAGTACTTGCATTTGTAACATTCTTAGTTCATCTCTGCCATACCCACAGAGCCTCCCTTTAAAACACAAACCCAAAGTTTTTATGAGCCTGTGTATAATCCTATAGAAAGCTTGTAATATGTTTGTTAAAACACATCTAAATTTCACTTCAAAATAATTGGATGCCTTCTGGGGGTTTTTAGCATATGCAAGTTCTGATTATTAGTACAGCTACTGAAAAGAGATCTAATTACAAAAGAAATTGTGACCTAATTTTCTCTATTTCTTATCAAAAAGTTTTCAGATACTGTTTGAGCCATTTGAACCCTCTTGGAAATTCTGAGGGTATTGTTCTCCACAGACTGAAATGTGTAGCTGACAGCTTCTGCCACTGAGTCCTCAAAAATTGGTTTAAACAGACATAAGTGTACAACTGAAACAGAAGCAAAACTAAGTCTCAACAATCACACAATTTACCCTCTTTATTCAAATGTTGGATTTCAGCTACAGAAAATACCATACTATTTTACTACAGAGATGTAAAATCATTCCATAGAGTCTTCCAAATATCCAACTTCTATTTCAGACACAGATATCAAGAGGGGAAAAGTCTCCAGCTGTCTAGAACTCCAAATTCTCTCATTTGTACTGCCATTTAACATAAGACAAAATTTAAGACCAGACTTTAACTGTTTCCAAATGTTTTTGTACGTTTTTCTGCTGAAACCTTTAACTGTTATCTAGCACTAGAATTCTTAAACAACAAATACACCTACAGTCTCCCTTTAATTTTGTGTTCAGACATTTTTCTGTTGAATGCTTGGTATCGTACATTAATCATGGTAATATATGATAAATACATAATAACTCTGAGAGCAGAAGGATCTAGGGCAAATATCAAGCACAAATGATTTTAAGCACTGATACACAGAAAACTCTTAATCCTGTGGGGAAATGACTGTTGAGAGAGCAGTAGCAAAAACAGACTAGATCAAGTCTAACTTCAAATCTCTGAAGAAACTATTCATCCTTCGAAACAATCTCACAAAAGCTAAATACAAGCTTTACTGAAGAAAAAATTCTCCACACGCAGTAGAACAGAACAGAAGTAGATGTGGGAAATGCAGAATAGTGCACTGAAACAAACAGAAGGTTCTTTAAAGTCTTCTTTCTAATCCTAGTATGTGTTAGGCTACTTTTTTTTTTTCCTGGAAAAGGTATAATACAATGCATAAAGTAACTGACTTCAGGCATTACTTTCTTTGAGTCCTACAAATGAGCACAACTTCCCATGGGACTTGTGCGTGGTCTAGAAGTTTATGTGTCTGGTGAAACACTCCGAATCAACAACTTGGATAACACTCCAAGATTTTGCAAGCCCAGACGAGCTGATATTTCAGTTTGATCCACTGATGTAAGCTTTTCCCCTCAGAAACAAAATGGTTTATTATGAGGTGGGCTACAGGAAAGGGTAAACATCAATTCTGAAGAAGAGTTTGGCAATGAAAATGAAATATTAAGAGTTGTTATCCTTGTTCTGGGGTGCTTTGTTTTTCCATTTAAGATAATTGGAGCATTAAAGTTAATAGAGTCCCATGAAATAACTTACTATTTAGGTATTTTACCTTTTAAAGTAATTTTGTTCATCCTGGAGAAGAGAAGGCTCTGAGGAGACCTTACAGCACTTTCCAGTACCAAAGGGGCTACAAGAGAGCTGGAGAGGGACTTTTTACAAGTCAGTGTAGCAATAGAACAAGGGGGAATGGCTGAAGGATGGTGGGTTTAGATTAGGTAGAGAGAGGTAAGACACTGAAACAGGTTGTCCAGAGACATTGTGGATGCCCCATCCCCGGCAGTGTTCAAGGCCAGGTTGGATGGGGCTCAGAGTAACCTGGTCTAGTGAAAGTGTTCCAAAAAATGCCAGGGGTGTTGTAACAGGATGATCTTTGAGGTCCCTTCCCACACAAACCATTCTATGAGTCTATGATATGTTATGGTGCAATTTTCAATAAAGAAAAAAACACCTTCAGTGGTATATCAATAATTTATTGTTTTGCATAAGAAGGTAAGATCAGATTTCAGGTAAGACATCAACCAAGGACCTGATGGTGAATTCAAGTATAGAGTTTGGTACAATATTAAAAAATACTACCCTTTGTTTGACTACAGCAAACAGCTAAAACACAATAAAAACATCTGGACTTGACTGTCAAAACATACATTTCTCTAAAACCCCACACAGCACAACTTGAATATGTGGAATATTGGAAACATGTTTAGTTGTCTTCATTCCCAAATTCTTAGGAGTCAAAGGAACAATCCATCTGCCCTGTTCCCCTTGGTATCCCAGAACAGTTCAGCACAGCTCAGGATCCATCATGATAAGCAGGCTCCTATCCTGTTGAAACTGTTTGACTAAGACATTTTTTCTGCCTAGACCTATTGTCATCTCTGCCTGCCTCGTGGAGGGCTTTGATTTTTAGCTTTTGAAGCTGAATAATGCAATAATGTTGATTTTTAAAGAGCAATTTAGTACTATAATTAAAAACGTTTCTGACTCATCAAAGACTGCACGTTTTATTCTGTTGGTTGGATCTATGTTTATGAGATTCCCTTCCTTGTGCAGGTGTTACCATCCAGGAATGAGCTCCTGGCTCAGAGACAGGGCAGGCAGCCATGGCTGTGGGAGCCTCCTGCCAGGCTGTGCCGTGGATCAGAGCGTCGGTGTCTGGGAGCGCGGCGGAGCCCCGCGCTGCTCAGCGCTGCCCAGGACGGCAGAGCTGCGCGCAGGATCCTCCAGACCACACCGACCCAGGAATGGCAATTACATTAATTCCAAAAAGACAGGAAAAACAGCCTGCAGGACAGCCAGAACTGTCCCTACCAGGGAGTTTGCGGATTATTCTAGCATCTACTTGACAAAGAGAAAAGCAGGTCCCTTATGCAAGCGTGACTGTACCCCAATGTTCCAAGACAGCCCAAGTTAGAAATAATGCTAATAGTGATTTAGTGAGGACTAAAGCCCCTCCTGTTGGACATGGCCACATCCTGAGAGATGCCAAGGGTCCTCTCCATTTCAAGAGATGGTGAAGGCACTTGGCATCTCACAGGCAAAGGCAAACTGACCCACTGAATTCCATATCCCCTGAAAAATAGTTTGATTTTCAGTGATTTAAAAAAAATAGAAAATGTTTTCTCAACTCAGATAATCTCTATGCAATTAATTTAATCAACAAATTCCTATTTATGTTACAAAAAAGTTTAGGTCCACCAGGAAAAAGGTGAGATTTGACAGAAGTTACAGTAGAGCAGTTCAAGCAGAGCATGTATCCATACTGGGACTCAGTACATCTGTAACTCTTGCATAAACTTTTCCAGACTCCCAGGGATTTTGCTGTTGTTTCTTGCATTTCATTTGTTTTATAAGACTCTAAGCCAAACGCAATGGCCCACACATTAAATACACATTTAGAATAAAACAGCAAAACCTCATGGCTTTATCAGCGTATGAACTGAAATAAAATATTTACATGGAATGTTGAGCTCCATTTACAGAGACTGTTTCAAATTACAGACTAGTAATCTCTTTAATAAATGATCACATTGACAAGAAATTTAAAAACTTAACATCCCTTTTCAACCCTTTCATAAATATATAAAGTTTCACTAAATTCTTTTTTCTTTAAACAAGACAGCTATATTCTCTTTACAGATTGACATGAAATAATGGTTTCCTGTTTGAATGCCACAGATGGGATGATCTGAAGTCAGCAAGTTCCTATACACATTCTGTACTTACAAGACATTCACAACACAACACACAGGTGTTACTTGGTCTTTACATTTGTACTCATTTCCTGCATATCAGTAGTAAGTAAAGAAAAATACCAAATTATCTATATTAAAAATACATCCTCTAAGATACATTTGCTTAACACTGACACATCAAATCTTAAAGTGGGGTTTCCAACTATCTTGTTTCCAGTGACAAGAATGTTTTTTACAGTGAACTCTACAGCATTAATTTATTTTTGAGTGGAGACAAAATACATGTTACACTACTAAAAAGTATCAGTACATACTCAACAATAAAAAGAATTAATCTCTTTCAACTGCTTCTCAGATGTCCAAGGTTTCCTCATTGTTTGAAAATTTCTGATGGGAAAATTGTTCTAAAGTGCGCCAAAAATATTTAAAATGAATTTAAAAGGGAAAAGAATTATTCTCTACTTTGTTGCTATTCACATCACTTTGCCACTGATTTTACAGAAGTTCAATCCCAAAGACTTTGAAGTTATATACACAATACCCCACATTTTTTTCCTATTTAAATAATTATTCCCATGACTTTTCTTTGTTTTGCCACAGAGCATGCCTGAAAATATTTTCAATCCATGCATGCTCACAGCTGAGTGTTTCACTATTAAGCCACTGAATACATCTTTCTTTCCATGATTATGTTAATTGCAAAAGAATATTTAAATCAGTCTGTACATGTAAGACAAGGTTCACATCTAGAAAAGTAAAAACACATTGATACATAATTAAAACTATGGTGTCTTCCTCATAAAAATGTTGGTCTCTTTTGCCTGTTTCAGTTCTCCCAAGCACTGAAAGGGCAATAACTTCCAAGTGCTGATGTGCTCTTTTATGGGAACAGTTATGCTTAAAACCACCATTGATGGTGATCTCCAGCATCAATTTGTATCTTCTGCAAACTCTGTGTTAAAAACACTCACCCTGGAAACACACAGATGATGATAAAGAGGTGTTTGGCAGTTTTGCTACACTAGTATTAGCTCACTTTATGGAGCACAGTAAATCTCTGGTTTCATCTGACTGTTCTACCCCAAACCGTGGGCAGCAAAATTGAAGACACAGGAAAACAAGACCAGTTCCAGTGCATGAAGAGTAAACCTGCTGCTCAGAAGAGCTGAAATCCCTCCTCCCAAGAAGTGGCCATCAAGTAAAAGCCTAACCATGCCCAAGGTTTAGATGCTGATACAACAGCAGAGGTTTTGTCTATTTAAAACGTTACTATGAGTGTAGCCAGCTGACAGGAACCCAGAAGGTCTCGGTCTCCAACCTGTCAAAAGTTGTTTTAAGCTCACTGTAAGCTGTAGCGAGGTCATCGTTGACTATCACCTTGTCAAAAAGGTGGCCATACTGGCTCTCCATCACATGGGCAGATTTAATCATTTCGTGAAAATCTTCTTCCTAGTAAGAGCAGTGCAATAAAGATCAGTGCACAGCCAATCCATAGCAACCCTGCATAAACTCTTTCTGTATTAAACATCATCTAATTGCTTACTTCTTATCTCATCAGGAGATGGAAACTGTACCTCTAATTAAAAAAAAAATAGAGATTACCATTACAAGTGATATCAGAGAGTATATTCTGATGAGTTGACTCAGCTCAACAGGCAATTCTTTCGTCTCTCTCCCTTTGTAGTGACACAATTAGTCACTGCATGGTAATTACGGAGACATTTTCTTATAGCAGCACCAGTGGAAAATGTTTCTAGCTGTTTACTTTGATGATACATTTAAAGTTTCATTATGTTAATTCTCAGTTTGCTATTAGCACTTACAGCACGGCCCTTTTAAGAGCTTGGTAGGAGTAATCATTCTATGTCTTGTTCAATCTGGCTTAGTGGATTTCATGTTTGGGGCGGGAACAAATCTTATTAATTTTTTTAAATGACTTTGAGAGATGAAACCTGTCCTAACTAAACAATGGCCTGAAGGTTGTGCTTAAGAATAAACTCCTCTTACTTTTTATATACCACAAATCAACATTTTCTTACAAAAGTAATTTCCAAACTATTCCAAATGCATGTTCTACACAGATACAATCTGTGACTATATCTGTGACTCGCTTTGAAACAAAACCTAAAAAAACTTAAGTAACACCTGAATGAGGAAAAATGATACACACTGTAAATACAGATAAACAATCTAATGATGATCAACTTTGCTGTAGATTCAATTAAAATATGATTTCATTATATTACAAGGAAGCAAGTATGTTAATATTGGGTAATGTTAGTTTTTTTCTGACTATTCACAAAAACCAGCATTTGTTCCTTGCTTAGATATCTCTTCTTCTTTCTTACAATGTTCCATTTTTCTATAACAGTTAAAAAAACCCTCTATTTCCCTTATCCACAAATATGGGCTTTTTATTAAAGTACCATTTACTTTTTCAATTGGTTTTTTATATTTGCATTTTCCTCTAAATTTAGACCCCTTAATACAGTTGATAAAACAAATAAATTCTTATATTTGAATAGAAACATCTAAGCCCAGGTGCAATTTTTTTAAAGGAAATCCACAGCATTATCTCTTATAAAGATATGCTTTCACTGTGGGTGTTCTTTCATGACATAAAGTCAGAGGAGCATGGAAACTGAATACCCATGAGCATATCAAACAAAGAAAACCCCACAGTAAATGTGCAATGTGAGAGAGGTTGAGAAACAGCAAGATGCTCATGTAATCCCTGACAAGTGCTGTCAATAAGAACCAGAGATCACCTTTATTTTCAAGGTAAACTGCTACAAGAAAACTCCTGACAGATTCTCCTGATTTACCATGTCTAATTATACTTACAGTAAAGGGTTTTGCAGTTCCCTTATCATCTTTACTTGAAATAATTTTGGCATTTTTTCTAGTTTCTCTCAAACGGTCAAGTGATGGAGGTTTTATAAATATAACAAATGGTTTAAACTCATACGTCCGCAAGTGTTTCACTGTCTGGGAAGAGGAAAGATTTTAATTAATTAGTTTATTTTGCACAATGGAATTTACTGTAAAAAAATAAACTCCCCACTGACCATAAAAAACCCATAAAGCATTTCTAGGCAGGTATTTTTCATTTACTGCCATCCTGCTCTGCTGACCAGCACTGATTCATCTAGGGAGAATCTTCAGAATGGTAAGAAAACTCTTTCTCCAAAGGTGATCATTGGTCTTGATTTCCACATGGCTGCTGGTAAGCCCCATGAAGTCTGGCAAAGTATGAGTCGTGCACACCGGTGCCACTGGCAGTGAGAGGATGGAGGGGAACAGCAGGTGTTCAGGGGAAGAGGAAGAGTTCAACCCATTTTAGCAAGAATAACCCTTTCTGTACCCATGAACATTAGCAGAAAGAGGTGTCTGTGACACTTGTTCACAAAAGGCCAATGATTTTTCTCTTCAGCACTGTGTGCCCACCACATAACTCCCTGCTGTTCATTTTCCCTGAGTGAGTTCTGTGTGGTGTTAGAGGCAGGTCTATGATTCAGCTGCAGCACAGCGTGGATGGTCAGAAGCTTTCTATCCTCTCCACACTGCCACAGTTCACGGGAAAACCCCATGCTGGAGAGTGGGATCCCAGAATGGTTTACAAGCTTGGGTCCCCAAGAGAATTCAGTGCTTTGCAGGAGCACAGGCTGTGTGGGACAGGCAATGGACTCGTCAGCTCCCCTCCTCCCCTGGCACAGGCTATGGCTTCCCTGGCTACTCCTCTGCCAGGGCAGCCCCTGCCCTGCTCCCAGGGCACAGCCCCACATCCAAAACTGCCCTGGGAGCTGCACACAAGCTGCACACAGAAGCCATACACTGGCCACCCTTGGAGAAGAGATGCTTTGGCTGGATTTAAACAAATAGTCCAGCTCCTAGAAGCACTGTGGTTATTAGGAGCAAAAAAATTCCCAGTGGAGCTGTTCAGCAGGGTTGAAAGACAAGGTCATTGCAAGAAAAAATGGTTTAGAGAGGAATATTCTTAACAATTATCCAGCCAACATCACATTTAGTTCATTCCTTGACTCATGTCCATCCTGCATGGAAACCCTTGGCATGAACAGTCTAGTGAAACATGTGAAAGAGAGTTGCTGGACTTGGTGATAATTCAAAACTATTCTGAAATTAAAGTTTCAGAGACAATCTCTTGCCCAAACTAACAGAAAGATAAATGGAAATAAAGGAGCATTCTGTAATTAAATCTTTAGTATTATGCTGCAGGCTTCCAATTCCTTTATTTACTGACTGTATATTTATCTCTTTCCAGAGAGCCTTGCTTAGATAAAGGTAGCAAGAAAACCCACTGAACAGTCATTCAGTGTGGAATAAAGTACACCTTTTGAGAAATATTTTTTACCAGAATTCCAATATGTAATATGGGGAAGTACAAGAGTTCAAAAGACATGCTTACTTACATGAGGTTGCACATCCAACAGACAAACTTTGTTTTTAGCTAGAACTGATCGAACAGAGTCTAAACTTGTACCATAGTAGTTGTTCTTATACTCGCCATACTCGATAAACCTGTGGCAGAAGGTGAAAACAACTGAAATAATTTCCATTTTCTCCGGAAAAAAAGCTTACCAGTTTGCTTTATAAGATTTAATTCAGAAGCAAAAATATTTTACTTTACATGAGAGTTCTACCGTGTTTTATAAAGGAAATGCTGTCAAGTACTTCAGCATGTCGATTTTAAGAAATCTTCTACTTTACTGCTTTCAAATCAGTAACACCTGCTTGTATTACAGTTAAAGAGAAAAAAGCACTGTAGTCCAACAGCCCACTAATGTTTTCCATCACCTCTTTTTCTGAACTAATGCAATGCAATAAAACAGTGGATAAGCTAAACAATAGAAACTACTGAAATTTCATTGCACACTACAGAATATCCAAATTCTCTGTCTCAGAAGAGGAGGAGTGATGATGGTGCTGGTGGAACCAAGGCGGCTGGTTATTTGCTATAAAAGTACAAGCACTATTTGCCAGGAAAGCAAAGCACAGTTTGAAGTTTCAGTAAAACCCACAGCTTTGTGTCTAATACACTTTTGCCCTCTGAAACTGGGGCAGAATTTCAAGCTACAGAATTTTACAGGCTGCTGGGGAGCATGATGCTACCATTGTCTCTTCATTTTAGTTTACTTTCTGGAGGGTGTACAGGCAGGGGCTTCAGTGTAGATCTCTAAATTCAAAAGCAGAGGAAGTGCCTGGCCTGAAAGAGAGCAGAACTATGCAAACATTGACTCAGGCACGTCTGCAGCACTTCCACACCCCACGTCCCTAGAGCTGCAGTGCTTTACTGCTATGACAGAAGATGCTCTATTAAAAGAATGCTCCCCCATCCCAAGCACCTATAATTTCAGTGTCTCCTTGAGGAGCTGAGGTACTGAAACTACTTGTAAGCTTAGAAACTCTTGTGTTTGCACATACTGATTTTTTTACTTTGTATTTTCCCCGGCTCCTTATATAACAACAAGTAATTTTAACACATCTTCAAATCACTGCAACTTATATCCACTTTGACTTATTATCTAAAATAACAACCAGCCCCATTTTGTAATAAACCATTGTTTTAACTGCAGTTCTAGTTAAAAATCTCTTCAACATACTTGTTATTCTGTACATCTGTCTCAAACAAGTGCTTGGAAATGAAAATGTATTCGACACCATCACTTTCTTGGCTTCTCCTTGGACGGGTAGTGTCTGCAGTTTCATCATATAAAAAAAAAAAAAGGAAAATATGCGCAAAACAATATAATGCAAACCAGTTCAGGAAAAGCTGAAAAGCACAGATTCTTTGTGCAATACTAAGCATAGCACTTCCCTCACTTCTGAAGCACATAAGGCTGCTCTGGATCTGGTAGGCAGCACACAAGCACATGACAAGATTGAGTTTTAAATGCATGCAGGAAAATCAGGGAAAAAAACTATTGGACAAGTATCAGATTATCATTTTTTATTAACTAGTGGAAAAATCCAATAAAATGAGGACAGATGAATAATAAAAAGAACAGCAGTCCATAACAATTACCCCAGCCTTGCCTCTTGTTAAACTTATTAGCATATGAGACCATAAAGGGAAAAAAGCACACCATCCTGATTTATAAAATGTTATGTTCATTAACAACTCTTGTAGCTATGGTATGTGAAGCATGGTAATAAAAAAATAGGGTGTGAACTTTATGTTTTAGTGCTTTTCTTTATCCCGTGATCAAAACAGAATTCCATTTTCTTTCAGTAGCCTTGTATTATTTGCACTTCTTACTTTCCTCCAAGTAGGTATAAGGGTATTGCTTATAATATTTGTGGGGTTGTCACTTATGATTAATGAACCCATTAAAACATCCTATTTAAAACAAGCTGAATACTACAGCATCATGCATTCTTCATCACATAAGGACATACAAAACCTGCTTGCAGCAATACAGACTTAAATGCCATTTGATCTATCACTCCTTTTCTTAGGCTGACACAATGAGGAACATTTCCAAGACAGGAACCCCGCTCTCTCTCCAAGTCCTGACTTACTGAATTTCAGGGAGAGGGATTCCTTTACATGTTTGTTTTAACTTATAACCACAAATTTGGAAGAGAAAAGAGAGAAGGCAGCTTGATGAATACTGTCAACTTTTAGACAAATATTTTTGGGCAAATGATTGCATATACTTCAATGTGTTAAATGTTTTGGGAACATCTAGCTTTTTTGTTATTGTTGCTTGCAATACCCAGTTGAAGCAAATATATACAAAAGAAATTACTTGCCAAACTAAATGCAATCATTTTTCTACTTAGCAAATTCGTTCATACATATACACTTCACAGAATATCTGCACTTGCAAAAAACCTGAGAGAGAATCTCCCAAATTTGGAATGTTGGAGCCATATTTTTGAAAAATCCCTATGGAAGGTACAAGTAGAAAGCAAACCAAGAAATCAAAGTCTAAAACTGTTGAGTTCTCCATATTAAATAAAACCCAGTAAAGAATTGTAGAAGTTGATAAAACACAATGTTACTCAATTTTATAAAAATCACACTACTTGGTCAGATGAGGATAGAGGAAAAAAATATCCCCAAAGCTAATCAAAGGGATTGAATGAATTTATTCACTGGATTAAACTGTTTATCATCAATCTTCATTTTTCAGCCTAAGAGATAAAGGCCAGTTTGCTGAATGCAAGCATTGGTAACAGAGTACATTTCAGTGCTTTACAGCCAAATCCAGGGTGTTCTTCAGCTGAGTTTCATTTACTAAACCTCAGTGACATCAATCATGCTAAACTTGTACTGAAAGTGCACTGCAGTGCCTCTGAGCCAAAAAGCTCTATCAATTTAATCAATGCTATTTAATACAGAACTGCAGCAGCACTTTTAAAAATAAGAAAAGCAATTTGGTTGCCAAGCATGCATTTAGAGACCCAAATTTGGAAGTACCTTAAAGGTAATACAATAATAAAGGCTAATAATGCAAGTATATCATTAGAGAATAGGAGTGCATTTTTACTTACGTGGCACTGTTACCCCGTAGTGCTGGGTATCGCTGATTAGCAATTTCCGTTTAAGTTCGTTCAGCCCAACCCCTACAGGACCTGAAAGAAAAAAATTGTCCTGTTTCCCAAGAGCCCGTTGTCTCTTGTCTCTTCAGGTGCAAGTATGCTCCAAGGTGAGACTACATAGCCTATAGCTGTGACATTACTGCCTTTTAGTCAGTGATTTGGAAACGCCCATGGTTCCAGCCTCTCCTAGCATATACAGAGCTGACAAATTTCAGGGGATGCAGTTGGCAGTTACTCTGTCCAGACTTTATTACTGAGGAAATATCAGTGAAAATAAATTGCTAGCTGTATGCCAACCTGCAGCTTTCCAGAACAAAAACTGGTTTGGCTGTTTATTTTGCCAGAATACCCTCAAGTTGCAGATTAGAGGACCCCAGCTGGCATGTGCAAAGTGCCCCCAAACTCTCTGCCCTCTGTGTGTCAGCATGGCCTCACTCCCTCCTGCTGCTGCGTCCCTTGTCTGCACCAGATGCCCCTGGGGACAGTTGCTTCCACCTTCCCATGCCCTGGGAGCACTGCTCCTTCCAGCCCCTGCTGCAGGCAGGAACACTGCCCAGCTCCTGGCTGCCTGTAGCTGTCACCATCCACCTTTCGACTGCGTGAGGGTGGCATTGCATGGAGAGAGGAAGGAAGGGCAGTACTTGCCAGGTCACAACCCATTTGGGATGTTTGGGTTTCTTTCTTTGTTGTTGATTTTCTTTTAAACTGTGCTTGTCTCCTGCCTGCTGTCTGAACGGGTCCAAAGCAAATGTTTCCTTCTTCATGCGACTGCCAAAGAGAGACCACTCTTGGAAGGAGGATGGCAGGAAGAAACAAAGACTGCATGGAATTTTTTGACCCGTCTCCTCCACCTCCACTTGAGCAGTGCTGTACTAGAAGCAACAGAGCAAGATGTTCCTCTTGGCTTTCGAGTTGTCCCTAATTCTTAGCTCTTTGCCAGTGGTGCCTTAGGTCTCTGTGAGGGCACTCTGTCCTGTGAGGTCTCAAAGGCTCCACAGGCACTCGCTGCCTGTCCCCAGGAGCCCTTCATGCAGGGCTCCAGCCTGCCTGCCCACTGTGGTGACAGGGCCATGCTGCTGTGTGTGAAGGGAGCTCAGCTCTGCATGTTCTTACATTTCTGACAGTGGAGAGCCTTCATTTCTACAGAGCCAGGACAACAGCAGAAGGCAAAGGAGAATGAGTCATTGAAACCATATCCTAAATAATACAAGGATAATACCTGTGGTTTTAGGGAAAATTCTTGAACATTTAGTAAAAGGGACACACGTATATATGGAGTGCTTCTTAACAAACACATTTTAAACATTGTAAAAGTGTTCAAAACCTAATAAACATTTCAATGAAATAGTGTTGTAACCACTACTTACTAGTCAGAGTCCAAAAACAGACTGATGCTTCAGTACCTTCAGGTTCCTATCTGTAAAAATGACCATATACCCTGTCTGGAGTTGAAACACATAATGATGAAAAAGCAAGTGCTTGCTACTTTGCTGCTACCCCCAGACTATGGTTCTGCTGTAAAATCTTAGAGTTTCTACATTTAAAGTTTCTATGTGTTCACATCAGTTAAACACACAACTACATTTCAAGTTCCATCTCTGACCTTTCTGTAAATTAATCTATCAGTATGTATAAATGTTTATTTAGTATGGTGTACAGCAGCCTCTACTGGTGCATGTCTGCAGAGGACAGCAATGTGTTATGTAGATAATGGCATTACTTTTGTTATAATTTAATTTTTTTTTCCTTTTTATAATGGTTTAGCTCTTTAAGGCAAATATGAACTTTTATAGGAAAAGTAATTAAAACTCTAATATATCCGAGCAAAGTAAACCAAACCAAATGGAATTCAGTTTTTAAAAATCACTCTATTACTTTTAAGCAAAAAATCTTTCCCATCAAATCCATACAAATATTATTTCCTTAGTCTACATGCTGTCAAATCAACAGTATGCTTTTAGCTTTATTTATATATAAAGAGTCCAGGCTTCACTTCCTGTGACACATGCTTTGGAAACTTAGCTTAACTCTGTTTCCAGATCACAACTTCACTACTACTGTCTCCCCTTCCAGATTAACATTTTAAAATCATCTTTAAATTGAACTACTGAAAGGTGTAGAGTCTTATTTTCAGTGCTGTCTTCACAGAGTGCTCATAACTGTAGCATATGGACACTGAAGGCTGATTTCAGCTCAGCAAAGCCATCCATTATGTGGATTTTTATACTACCTCTCCCAAGTTAATATACAGTTCCCTTCTATTCTCTTCATTTTCATACAGCACAGAAAGATGCCAGTTTCTAATAGTTACGAATCTGAGCACAGTTTGAACTCAAAAAGATAATAAAGTGTCAGGATATAAAAGGATAATCCTGATTCTTATAGTCAAATATAAGGCATGCAGGATCCATGTCTGTAGTGTAGTTTTGGTTTACTATAAATCAACCCAGGCAGCAATATTTACAGTTATGCTGACAGATTTAGAGATACTTTGCTTACTTTTTTAAAGGAACATTTGTGCTTCTTGCTGTTGCATATTAAGTCATGTTAATGGTCAACTCCTGCACAAGTGGACTGCAGTGCCCACCTCACTTTATTGAGAGACATCTGCAGAATTAAACTACCAATCATAAAAACTTGCACTAAATTTTGTACCACTCAGACACGTCTGAAGAAAACTGAAAAAGGTAAGTTTAGGTCTTGGGAGGGTTAAGCTAACCAGCCAAGTAGACTTCTGGAAAGAAAAGAAAAGAAAAAGGAAAAAGGAAAAAAGAAAAAAGAAAAAGAAAAGAAAAGAAAAGAAAAGAAAAGAAAAGAAAAGAAAAGTGGTCTTTCAGAAAAGATTTTGTGAGTTAGATGACAATGTTCCTGCTGGGATCACAAGAACGCAGTAGGAGACATGCCTTGAGAGAGCCTCTGTGGCTCAGTTCCTAGTACACTATAATGCAATGACTGTACTGCATATAATGCATGTCTGACTTCAGCTCAGTGTGGTAGGAAAGGAGAACCTCATTATTTTGTGTTTCAGTACATTTTAACAAACAGTGGGAGCATACTTTGAGATCTGCTGTTCACTGAAGTAGGATCAGTGAGCTCATACTGGTGTTCTCATAGGCAAGGCTAGGCACTATGTTACATCCTATGCATTTGCTCCTGAACCTTGCTGACCTTACCATGCCTTCAATCAGGAAGTTTTAATGCAGATAGGAATTACAGGTCTCTTTCTTCACTGTCCTCTTAGTTGACTGGAATAGCATGGCCACGGTAGGCCATTTTCCTGCACTACTGCTGTAGATCAATTAAGACTCTGCAAGCCATTACTGAACATGTTAAAGCAAAGTCAGGAGAAGTGGCGAGTTAAAAGCACCTTTTATTTCATCCTCCTTTGCTCTGAAATAGACCTGGTCTCATCATAACTCCTTCATGATAAAACCAGAGGTGATGGATTAAAAAAAAAAAAAGAAAGAAAATCTAAGCAATACAACAAATAGAGAGCTTTTTGAGTCCCAGATTCCTTTTCTTTGCAGAAGCACATCTTTGTGGGAAGTACTGACAGCCTCATTCAGAGACAGAGGCTTTTCTGATCGTGTCAGACACCAGTAACAACTTCTCCTTTATGGCTACATGCCTCTGGTCCTTGCTTCCACCACTGCCCACTTTGGACAGAGGCATCACCATGGGTGACCACAGCTCCTGAAAGGCTCTGCACACCTCCAGTGATCACACTGCATGCACAGAGCAGTGTGTGTTCTTGAGGACAAGTGCTCATGGCTTGTTACTGACAACTTCACTTTATCCTGCCCCTTCAGAAAACTCTGACTTAGCTGAAACTGTGCCAGATAAAGTTATTGCATGCAGCACATTCATTCTAACTCTAAGGAAATAAAATTTATGCTACTCTGGCTCTTAAAATTAACCAGAGCAGAAGACCTTGTGAGCAGGGCTTTTCCCTCATTAACATGAATGAAAATTCTAGTGTCTAAATAGTACAAGTCATATTAAAATATTCTACCTTTGTCTGACAGATCTGTGAGGTATCTAATGCTTAGGATGCAGGCAATATTTGTGGTAGAAGACTTTAAGGATTTCTTGGCAGCTTGGGAACAGTAAGTTACTAGAAGGAGACTGATGACATAATATTGGATAATTTTGTTTTTAGCAGACTCATCACAATCCTAACAATTAAAAGCACACAGAAATGTTTGTATCATTACTGCTTCAGATGATGTTATATTAGCCCCAAGGATTTGCAGGGCTTTATTCATGAACTTAAATTTGCAGGCAAGGTAAAATCTTGACAAACTGATACACTGAGCTGAACCTGAGAGTAGTGTGTATCACACAACAGGGCACTGAAATTACTGGGTGTCCAATTCATGTTCTTTAAATTAGCCTAGACCAATTCAAAATGAAGTGAAATTTGTTTTAAAGTTGTCAAATTCCCTCCCACTAAAAAAAGGCAAAACCAAACCTAAATGTTCCCTTTTAAACATAAATAATATATTTAGACCTAGCTCAAAAGACATCTAGTGCCTCCACCAATTACAGCTATAAATTAATTATATGTCCCTTTCCTAGTACTACTATACAAATTATACTTGATGTATTATATGGAATGCTGCTACTGGCACACAAAAAGCTTTTAAAATGTGTTTGCTTCTACTATACCTGCATTGCTTAGCTCTGCTAGTTTTTTCCATATTTTGCCCAAGACATTTTTATGGCATTGGCCAGACTTAAGCTGCTCTTAATATCCAGAGAAAAAACATTAGAATTACTGAAGTCCGCAATAAATTTCTGAATTGCTTTTGTTACTGAAAAAGCACTCTTTCTTAATTTGATTTATTACAACAAAAATCAAATGGAATCTCTAGGCATTCCTTAGATCAGACATATGCAATTTGTTATAAAAAGTCTACTTATCACACTTTTGCACTACACTCTATTGATGTAACTGTAAAATCAACTCAACCATGTTATTACTTGTTGTATATTACCCAAAATCTCACAGTGATCACACTAGTAGGTGGCTGATTTTTAGTGCTGGAGAGTGACAAAACTGTTTATTAAAAACTCAATTTAATGTTCCCTTGGATATGAGTGATATAAAAACACAGCTACTCAACAGTTCCTAACAGTCCCTGATAGAGGGTCATATTTCTCTGCTCTGCTGCTTTCAGAACGGAGGAAATTTTACTAACGAAGAATCAGCCTGTGTGTAACTGCCAAGGAAGCAATAATCAATGAGACATTACTCACTCGTAGTGAAGGTTACTCATTACTCATTGGTACTCCAATTGTTACCTTTGAAAAGCTTAAGATTATGCACTTTCTCTCTTTTTGGGAGACTGAAGCAAGGCATTTTGATTACATAATAAATGCTGTGAGGAAGCCATGGCAGTGACAGATTATAGAAGAACAGAAAGCTGACTGAGCTATATGTTGAGTCCTCTGCAGCTATGCTTACATTCATCCTTGGCCTATAGAGGTGCACATTGCATCCACCTTTCTTACTACTTGTCCATTTACTTTTTCTAATGCAGTAGGTGGTTTTGCTCCTTTCCACTTTTATTGTCTGTCTTCATTGATCTCAGGTGTTTATCCCGTTCTTTTGGTTTGTTTTTGGGGTTTTTTTCCACATAGATATATTGATTGATCACTAAGAGTGGAATATCAACGTAATTCTTTTGAGTTTTAGTACAGCTTGACTGCCACATTCAGACTTGTAACCATGGTAGCTGTATTTTAATGTCATCTCCCCTTGCTATAGGAAAGCCCTAAACACAATCTCCTAAAGCATGCTTATATGCAAGCTGAGACATCCTGTCTAGAAAGGTGGACTACTAGACAGGTGAAAAAATGGAGCATGTTCAAAGGGAAGAGGTTATTGGTTTGTGCTCTATGACTCATTAAAAGGGGAGCTCCTTGGGACCTATTCTGTTTCACATGCATACCAATGACACAGACTATGCCCTTACAAAGCTTATCCATGGCAAGATGGGTGATACAAGTGACTTGCTCAGGGGTAGGACTTCCTCCAGAGAGCTCCAGGCATAGGCTGGCAGAACTTAGTGAAATTTGATGAGGACAAAGTTCTGCATTACAGGCTGGGGGCTGACTGGCTGGATGACAAGGGTCTTGGGATTCAGGTTGGCAGAGCTAAGCACGAGTCCCCAGTGCTCGCTGGCAGCAATGGAGGGTAACAGGAGATTGAGCTGGACCAGCAAGAGCCTGGCCCATAGATAGAGGGGAATGATTCTTCCCCTTCACTCAGCACTTGTCAGTCTCCTGTGAAGAATACTCTATCCACAACAAGCCCTGCACTAAAATACTGTTGATAAACTGGATCAAAGACGTCAGAGGGCCTTGAAGATGGTCAGGAGCTGAACCACATGACCTGTAAGAGAGACTGAGGGAACTGGGCTTGCCTGGCTTGGGGAAGAGATGTCTTGGGGGGACCCACCAGCACCCTTCTGACACTCATTGAAAAGATGGAAACCACCTCTTTACTGAGGTGTGAGGTAAGACAGGGAAGACATGATGGGAAGACAGGTTCCCAAAGCTGCTGCCATCAGCAACCCGCTTAGAACCTGGTGTTGATCTCACTCAGTGGGAAGCTGAACCAGGTGAACTCCCGAGATCCCTTACAATCTAAATGACTTTCTGGTAAGCATTGTGCTAATCAGCAGGTCTCTGTTTTACCAGGTCAAAAATAAAGAAAACAACTTACCAACCAAAACAACAAGCCTGTATTTGTCATTAGGTTGTCGTCTATATTTTGCAACTTCTTCATAGGTTGGGATATCTGCTGTATCATACTGATCACTCTTCTTGCACTCATACATGGACTTGTTTGTTTTTTTATCTTTTCTGCTAAGACGAAAGCTTCTTCTAAAACCAGCTGCAGTAAGAACAGGGTTTTTTCAAAGTAAGAAAATAAGTCTTCTTAAAACATTTGAAAACAGTCTCTTCCAAACATTCAAGGATTGGAGCATGGAATAAAAAGTGTATTATGTTTAATAGGCCAGGTCATTACAATGACATTTCCCGTGTTTTTAAACTATATCAGGTACCCATTTAAACTGCAAAATTAAGATTACCGATAAAACCAGAACCTTTGCAACAACAAACTGCAAAATATAATTGCTATTAAAAATTGTTAATAAATTGTTAATATATTTAGATTATGTAGACAATTTGAGTATCCTATAAATTGATGTATATATATACACAATGCAATTCATGCAAGCTGGAGTCTCATACCACATCTAATGCATGTCTATTAAATCACCATGGCACACAGACATCAAATACAACACAGGATAGAAATACATCTGGTGGTTGAAAGGGTTAATGAGAATTAACTCCTTGAACAATTCTCTTGTGCTTAGCTCCATGATGATAGCATATTAAAAACGTGCATTAAACCTTTCCTGAGTATGTTTTATAGTCAATCCAAGCACTCATAGGTAAATTACAAACTACTAGAAACATCTTAGACAACACAGTACCCATATTATGAAATTAAAAGTTAATATTGCTATTAAATCTATATTTATACTTGCATCAACTGTGTGATATCTATTGTGCCTTATAGAGAAGACTTGAAATTTCACATAGCTTTTAAGCACTCTCAAAGGAGAAAATCTTAGGCATTTTCAAGCAGAACAGCACAAAAACCCATTTTACACTACATGTTAAAAACTAATTTAGTCCTCTGTTAATGATTACCTCAGAGTTTTTCAGATAAATCCTTTATATTGCATTACATTAAATTTTACTGGTATCTCTACAACACCACTTTTGTTCTATAAGGAAGTACAGGAAAGACTGCGAAGACTGCAAAGCTGATTTCACTGTCTGGTGGTAGTAGAGTAAAACACAAGCTATACTTTAAATACTGGAAAAGTTGTTGGTGTTTTTTCCCCAGAACACTTCATGGGACAGTAAACGTGTAAACTTTTAGTGACCCCAGATTTTCAGCAAAATGTTTTCATATTCTTATAACAGCACTTATGTTTAGGTGTTTGAGAAGTAGTCATAATTTCTTTTTCAAAGGTAATATTTTACAAGTTCAAGATTCAGTTCTGCAAATATTTAGCACGAGATCTGAAGAGAAATGTTACAAGGCTTAGTTATAGGCATAGCATTTTGCACACATACAGTTTAAGTGAGCATAAATTGTCATAGAACCTGGACCATAGAGGATGTTAACCAAGTTAGTTAATTGATGTGAACCCCTATGCCTATGGGAATCTACAGCACAAGCATACACACAATAGGTGAAGAAAAATTTGCTTGACAATACCACGATGTCAACCCATTTATATTCAAAATATGAGTAAGTAAACTGAAAATCTATGACAAAGGAGAAGAACTAGCACCCACAGAAAGGGCAGATGATATTTTTAAGTACAATATAGTCCAGACTAAGTAGGAGGTGAGCTGACATAGAAAAATATCAAAATATGAGATATGAAAACATAATGAAATAGACTGGGTTAGATTATTTTATTATTGAAATAACACTGACATTGAAGTGACTGCAGTCAGAAACAGAAATGCTCTATTGGAAAGCTTACACCCCCACAAGAGGGCCTGGGAGATCTTGCCTGCCCTATGGTGAAGTCCATCATGACACAAGGATGTTCTCTTGATCACAACTATGGCTAAGTGTACAGACAGCTATATAAAGAAAGATTAAAAGTAGCTTTAGCAATACAGACTACAGACACATGAAGTGAGTTACAAGTTTCCTGAGGCCTCATCTAAAATGCTCCTGATTAAAAAAAAACCCAAACACCAACAAAAAAAGTTGCCCAAAACCATGAAAATTATTTTGTTTGTTGCATTTTGTTCCTTTATAATAATTTTATGGAAAAACAAAAAGTAGACAAAAAATAAAGAATAATTCTTCACCATTGACTACTTAATGGTTTACAAAATTAAGAGCTTTGTTACAAAACCAAGAATCCAGGTATCTGGAAAAGGCAAAAAAGTAAGAATAATGATCAAATTAAGCTCTGACAGTGGTCTCCATTCCAGTTTGGTGTTGACCTTACAATCAACAACAGCTCCATGCTCCTGATCAGTCTCAAAATGCCATTAGAACAGCTTCTCAGCCTCCACTTAAATGGTGAACTGTGCAATCTTCAGGAAAAGTATTTTTTCTGCAAAATCTTCCTATCAATTCAATCCCCACTTTTAGGTTTTGGCAAAAACATTTGTAACTTGTTCCTCTTTTCTCCAACCAATTTATTCAGATCTCATTAGCAAACTATCAGGTGGTAGATTATTCAAGAATTTTCATTTCTTTCACTCCTTGAAAAAAGGAGAAAATCTTTCAGCTCTGTCTTCAGGCTGATTTGTCCCTTGTCACTTTTACAGGCTCCACACAAAACATAACAAAGACTCAAGTGATATGATTCCACTGCTAACACGTGTTTCCTTGAATAAAATATTTGATATTTCTGCCACTGAAACTCATTGGTAAAATGAAAATAGTAATATTGTCCTGTGTATTAAGAAAGCTCAACAAGAAGTTCAACCAGAACTTAGACACTACATAAAATAAAATATACTAATTAAAAAGAACAAATGTGAAAAAAACATAGAAACCAGAGTAAGGCTGGTCTCTCTGCAGTATGCTAGTGAAGATCCTCTGTAAAACTACTGACTATTAAGAGTTTGTGGTATGCTGTTTGCTTCGCCACTTTATGACTATTTTCAATTTAAAAGTTTTTTAAACTGTTCCTCAAAATCCATCTGAATAGCCCATACAGAATCTCAAGAAAGTTTGCTTTAAATAGCATTCAAACCCAAGGAAAACATACAGTTCCAAGGGGAAGGATGTTTCAAGTATAGTCAACACTTCTATGGTACTGCTCTGCATTCCTGAAAGCATCTTCATCGCTCGTCATCTGCCATTATATAGCCTCTCATATATGGCTTAACTTTACTGTGACCTACAAGCTGTTTTATAGAAATGCTAATAAATATTTTCTATTGAATGTCTGCATTTGTAATTGCATTTTATGTTGGGAACTATGACTGCACAAAAATATTAAGCTGAACTGAAACAATATTGTACTTTCAAGGAACAAAAACATTTATGAAAAGGCAAAAGATATTCTACTGTTTGCATGTTTTATAGTTTTGAAAACATAATTAATATATTTAAATTAACAATAGAGCATCATTGAAAATACAGTGATGATTACTACAGAGAACCAAATCCAATACTAATATGCAACAGAAAAAGTTTCTATAAAATGATTCATGTTAAAAGTAAATTTCTATAAAGAACAAAAGGAAAATGTATTGCTTGCCTAGAATATTTGATAATATAAACCTTGATGAATATGAAAGGAGCTGCAGGCTAAACTGTCTGTGGAATATGGGTATCAGCAGAGATTAACCTTAGCTGCCAAGTATGCAGACTATAAAATAAAAGGGGAAAATTCTATCACTAAAGCGACATAATCTCCTGAGCACTGAGAAGCTTGCACCAGCTCACTGGTTACAGCTACACGTCTAGGAGCTTACTGAACATGCAAACCCATAAACTACTGCTGGAATGTAACAGATTTGGTGAAATAAGAGCAGGCTCTGGGAAGAAAATATTAAGAACAAATGTTCTCAAACTACTGATGTCTTCAAAACTTATGCTTCTCAATATGAAATAAAAATCATTATTAATAAACTTAATTAAGGCCCAAAAATCAAAGAGAAATCACTTAGATCTATAAGAATGAAAAAAAAAAACCACGTTAGCATAAAAGTTTGATTATTCTTTTAACCATTAGCAGTATACATTTTGTCATTTCAGAACAACATCCTTACACTTACACAGAGAAATCCACTGGGGCCTCACACAGAATCCAAACTGAAAACACACAATGTGTGAACCTGCCTACCTTGCAATATTTTAAAAGGATGATGATGATGATAGCTGTGCTTATTTACATTTAATGACATAATTCTGAAGAAGTAGATTGCAACTACGTTGTGCAAATTTTAGTCCAAATATACTAATAAAACCAGAAAGTTAATTTCTCAAACTTAGACAGACTACACTAACAGGAAATAATAAAATATAAATTCGTGCATGCTTCATAAATTCACAAGTAAGACTCCAGAATGCTATAAAGCACTTACATGGGCTTTTGTTATTTTCATTCATTAAAGTATGTGTTTAAATTACATATGTTCTTTGCTGAATTTAATTTCATATTAAACAACTTCTATTTAATTGTAAATGCATTTAAGAGCACCCTTTGTATTCATATTACTGATAAACGTAAGTTTGGTACCATGGTCATTATCTAGGTTTGTATGAACATAATATTTTTACTAGATATTTCTGGATATTATTTTCCCTCCAAAATATTGGTATTCTTTTTACATTGGCTTGTATGCTGAGGATTTCTATTGTTACACAGGAACTGCACAAACACAGAGCAGACTTCTTACTATGTTTGCTTCTGGACTGATTCCCAGCTTGCACATTTAGACTGGGTTAATAAAAATTTAGATTATGTCTGGATTTTAAAGATGAAATTGAGAATAGTAAACAGATGATATTCATCTATATTTATTGTATGTTCATAAAGGTTCAAGCACTGTAACCAGAATTGAAGCTTGGCAAAGGCAAACTCCTAACGTTTTCCTCAGCAATTCCTCAGGAAATTACAGCAGAAACATATGATACCATACCGTGGCTTAAATATTAGAATTTGGTGAAAAATCATTAAATTTATCTGAGTCACTTTAGAGGAGACTCTAAAGGTTCAAATTAATAGCAATATAGCCTTGGATATAAAAGATGTGACCCAAAATGGTTCAGACATTCTTGCCTTCTGAACACCCTCCTGTGCTCCTCATGACTACCTTGCACGTGTG